CTAGCCGTGGTCATGAGCGCGGCCCCTGTTCTCTGCGAGCCCCGGCGTCGCGCACGGGCCCTGAGCATGCGAGCCGCCCAAATGCTTGCGGATATCCGTCTCGCCCTTCCTGGACTGGGCCTTCGCCGGGGGGCACCCTTCCCCCACCTGGAACACGAGGCCGAACATCGCAACCCACTGCGCCGCGAACTCGGAGAAATTTTTCGGCCTCCCGATCGCGAGGACCGTGTGAGTGCCCTTCAAGTGCTGCGCACTCACGATGGTGGCCCCGGGTTGGACCGGCTGGGCGGGCACATTAAGACGGTGCGCTTTCCGCCTGACGTCCCCGCAGCGCGGCGGACGCTCCACGTACCATTAAGCCCTACTCGGCGTGCGCCAGTCGATCCTCGTATTCAGCTCGTGCACGGCCAGCACCTCTATTGCAGGCGCCGCAGCCCCGTAGAAGCCGACGAGGCGTTGCCATGAGTCCGTCTCGGTGTCGCCAAGGCGCTCGGATCCGACCTCAAGCTGCATGGCGGTGCCCTTCTGGCTTGTGCCGCCTGAACACCCCCCCACGCCTCCGTGAGCTTGTGCAGGAAACCGTCCCTGGCCTTGCTGAGCCGCTCAGCATCGCGAGGGCTGAAATGCGGTAATGGCTACGGCTCCCGCGCGGCGTCGTCTCTCGCCACCCAGCCGGCGATTTCCGGCTTAGCCGCCTCCACCGCTGGCACGCGCTCCGGCGCCAGGCGAGGGGCACCGACGAGGGATCGAGGGGGCGTGGCCTGCGGAGGCGGCGTTGCCCCTCGGGGCGTGGCCTGGAGGAGTGGAGAGGCGGCATTGCCGCACGGGGCGGGGCCTGCAGAGGCGGCGTTATGCCCTCGGGGCGTGGCCTGGACGGGGGGGAGACGGAAGGCGGCAAGGGGAACCAAATGGTACCGATACTGCTACTCCCCAGGGCTCTCCTGGTGTGCGTTCAGAACAGAATTCTGGGGCGAATTCAACGGTGCCGACGAGGGCCTCCCAGGAAGCCCAAAAAGAGGAGAATGGACGAAGCGTAGCAGCATGGGTACCTTTCTCCTCCTCGCATGACCCCTCGGTGCGTGGCCTGGAGAGGGGGGGGCGGCATGACCCCACGGGGCGTGGCCTGGAGGGAGGACGGCGGGCCCAGCTGCACCACGCGCGCCATGGCTCGGCCGTCGGCCGCCCGGCCCGCCTGCCACGCAGCATCCGCACCAGCGAGCGGGCGGGGGAGAGGGGAGAAGGACAAGCTAGGTGCGCTCGCGTCATATCTGACGTCCTACCCCTCCCTCCCATCCCTTACCATGGCGCTGATTTTCTCTATCCGCGGACGCGTGTCGTAGCGGACCTGTGGCTCCGCGCGCGCGTGCGTAGTGGGTGGTGGTGCGCGTGCGTGCGTGCGTGCGTGCGTGTGTGCGTGGTTGTCGTGGTGGTGGTGGTGGTGTGGTGGTGGTGGTGTGGTGGTGGTGGTGGTGGTGGTGGTGTGGTACTGGTGCTGGTGCTGGTGGTGGTTGTGGTGGTGGTGGTGGTGGTGGTGGTGGTGCGGCGCGGTGGTGGCGGGCGGATGGGCGCGCGAGAAAAAGGCCCGCGCTGGGGCGAGAACGCCATCCTGAACGACGGAGGCCAAACACCGATCCGAAAATGAGGCCCACGCTGCAGCGGGAGCACGATTCGGAACGATTCGGGAGCAGAAATGAGGCCGGCGCCTCAACGAGAGCAGCATTTTGGGAAAAAATGACGCCGGCGCCTCAGCGAGAGTCGTTTCCCGGGATTTCCCGGGCATCCTGTGTGTAAAAAAACAATACGCGGAGGGTGCGCGGCCATCACCCGGACGCCACCAGGGGAAGAGGGAGAGTATTTTCATATTGAGTAATTGTGGAGGAGGAGGAGGTGGCGGGGGGAGGAGGGAAAAGAGGGATGGAGTAGAAGGAGGAGGAGGAGGAGGAGGAGGAGGAGGAGGAGGAAGAGGGAGGAGGAGGAGGAGGAAGAGGGAGGAGCGAGGAGCGAGGAGCGAGGAGCGAGAAGCGAGGAGGAGGAGGAGGAAAAGGAGGAGGGGAGGAGGAGATGGAGGAACAAGAGGGATGGAGGAGGAGGAGGAGGAGGAGGAGGAGGAGGAGGAGTCCCTGTGTCCAGGTCTCCTCGATCACGGGTACGCCCTGCTGCGCGGCCCTCGCCGCGGTCACAACGCTGTCCCCGGCCCGAGCCTCCGAGGTGCTGAGCGCCAGGTACAGGGGGGGCAGGGCTCCGAGGAGCGCCTCGGTACCATCATCATCATCATCATCATCATCATCATCATCATCATCATCATCATCATCATCATCATCATCATCATCATCATCATCATCGTCGTCGTCATCATCATCATCAGCGTAATCATCATCATCATCACCAGCAGCAGCATCATTATCATCATCATCACCAGCATCATCATAAGCATCACCATCTTCATCATTTTCATCATCTTCATCATTGTCATCTTCAGTATAATCATCAGTATCCCCATCCTCATCCTTATCCTCATCATCATCACCATCAGCATCACCATCATCATCACCACCATCATCATCATCCACACCATCCACATCAGCAGAATTAGCATCATCATCAGCATCGGCAGCATCATAATTAATCATCATCAGCATCAAAATCATCCTCATCATCATCACCAGCATCCGCATCATCAGCATCAGCAACATCAGCAACATCATCATCATCATCATCATCATCATCATCATCGTCGTCATCGTCATCGTCATCGTCATCGTCATCATCATCATCGTCATCATCATCAGCATCATCATCAGCATCATCATCAGCACAAGGGGGGGGCAAGGCTCCGAGGAGCGCCTCGGTGGCGAAGAAAGGCGACACGATGGCGTCCGTGAGCATGTCCTCGGGGGGGAGGGGGGGGAAGTGCCATATGTAGGGGGAAAACAAACCTACCTCGCTTTTGACCACCCCCGCTTCCAAGAGATACCAAACGATGCCAAACTACGGCCTGTACTGGTCAGGCCGCTTGACGAGGAGGCGCGTGGTATGACTTGGTTGTGCCTGGAAGCGAAAGCGGGGTAGGTAATTCACGCTCTGAATATGTGGCGGATTCCGGAAACCCTGAACCCAAAAACGTTCTCACCTCTTGGGGGCGCCCTTTTTGGGCTCCCGCCGCCTTCCGCCGAGAGCCTGCGCCTCGGTTTCCACCGCCGGCAGCGGCCTTTGTTCTCCTCCCGCCGACCTCCCGCAATACCCTTCCGCCGCCTTCCCCGCCGGAAGAGATGACACCTCCTGCGATCCTTGAAGGCTGGGAGGAGGAGGAGGAGGAGGAGGAGGAGAGTTTCCGCTGACCTCCCGCACCGCCGCCTTCCGCGGCGGAAGAGATGACAACTCCTGCGATCCTTGGCCTCTTCCTGGAACACGTTCCCCGACGCCCCTCCCCCCCAACTGGGCATGATGGGCACCTTGGGGCCTTCGGGTTGGGTTGCGGTGCTTCGGCGGGCAGTGCGTCCTCGGGCCCCCCGCGTCGTGCGCAACACGTCGCGGCGAGGGACGGCCCGAGAGGCCCCACCCCGGACGGCCGCAGGGAGCCCCCGAGAGGCCCCCCCCCCCCTCCTGACGGCCAGACAGAGGGCCCCCAAAGAGGCCCCCGAGAGGGAACACCCGCCGGCGCTCCGAGCCTTCCGCCCAAGGAGGCCCCCAAGAAGCCCCCCAAGCGCGATGGCATCCGTGAGCATGTCCTCAGAACCCCTCGCGTCGTGAAAGCATGTCGACGAGAATGGCAGCCGCTCGGGCATTACCTTTGCTGTCTCGCGCCCCCGCGAAGCCACCTCCGAGAATGGGCAACCGCTCTGGCCCAGACCACGACGCGCGACGCGCGATCATCTTCGCGCCCCCGCGGGTGACTGGGGACATTGCCAGCGCCGATGCTGGTATCATTTGGCCTCCCGGGCGGTGCACGCTGAGTCCTCTATCCCCGCGACGTACGCCAGGGCCAGCGCTCTCTGCTCCGCGCTGGTCCTCCCCGGCATGCCCCGGTGGAAGATGTCGCCGATGTAGTCCGTGTCGCCGGAGTCGTCGGCGAAGGCCGCGAAGGCGTTGCTGTAATACGTCGGGGTGGTGCACGCCAGGTTCAGCCACGGGCTGTAGCCGAAGTAGCCCGCGGCCGGCGGCCCCACGTCCACCTAGCGGCAGCGAGCAGGAGGAGGAGGAGGAGGAGGAGGAGGAGGAGGAGGAGGAGGAGGAGGAGGAGGAGGAGGAGGAGGAGGGGGGGAAGCTGAGAAGGAGACGGCCTGCTCAGAAGGCGGCGGGACTTCTCCGAAGCCCTCGCGCCTTGTGGGAGGCTTTCTGCGCCGTCGGGGATGGCTTAGAGAACTTCTCAGAAGGCCGGGGGGCTTCTGAGCCCTCTGAGAAGGCCCGCCCCTTCTCGCCTCCCTCCCTCGTTCGCCGCCGAACCTATGAGCATCGTTCAGTCTATCCCCATCCGCGAAGGCATGGCACTGGCCCCGCTGACCGATCTCCCCCTCGTCATATGGGGATACTGGTTGTGCTGTCTTCTTCGGGCCTTGCGGGGCTGATCCCCACCGTGGCCGTGGGGGGTGGGCTGGCGGGGCTGAGATGCAAATGGCCAGTGGGGGATTGGGATCGGTCAGGGACGAGGAAGAGGAGGAGGAGCGGGAGGAGGAGGAGGAGGAGGAGGGAGGGAGGGAGGGAGGAAGTGAGGGAGGAAGTGAGGGAGGAGGGGATGGAGCAAATTTACACAAGCGCAAACTTTCGGAGCTCCGCGCGGCTTTCTCTTCTGATCGGCGCTGGGCCACCCCGCGGCCGCCCCTGGAGCGCTCCGATGCGCCAGCAAGGAGGGGGCCCAGCGACGATCCAACACAATCCGCGCGAACCATCGACAAACTTGACTTGGAAGTTTTGCTTTGATCTTGGAGGAAGAACTTCGTGCACACATTGGCCCCCTGAAACGCCCACGCGCCCCCCAAAGCAGCATCGGCCCGGAATCGGCGATACGTCGCCGACGCCTCGGCGACAGGCCCCCGAGAGCGGCGAATCCGCGCGGCCCTGGGCTTGGGCGCGAAGTGGTGGCGGGCCATAACTTGGGGGGCAGCGAGGGCTGCAGACCATTTGGTTGACCCAAAAGAGGGTCCAGCTGAAAGGGGGTGGTGCAATAGATTGGGGGCAGTTGTTTTGCAAATGTATTGCGCCCCAAAATTGTATTGCAACAGTGTATGGCGCGCGAGAAAATCCAGCAATCCATCTGCGGCCCAGAGTGAATTGCACGCCCCAAATCAACTGCAACCCGCAATTCTTTTGCACCAGATCTATTGCACCACCCCCTCGTAGCTGGACCCTCTCTTGGGCCAACCATGAGAGAAGGGGCCCTCTCGGGCCCCTGGACGGGCCCTTCTAGGCCCCAGAGGCCCAGATGGGGGCAGGGCCCGAGAAGGGCACCCTTCTCTTCCCCCCAGCTTATCGCCCCCCTTTCCTTCCCGTCGCTCGGACGTCCATTCCCTGTGCCTTTTTCGGTTTCGTGCGTGGTTTTATTTTTCGCAGGATGATCCAGGAAGCTCATCACTAATCCCCGCCGAGAAAAAGTGCACACGTCCGAGCGATACCAAGACTCGTTCGCGCGGCGGGCTGTCGGGCTGGGCCCCCGCGATCCATGGGCCCCTCGACCTATCTTTCCCAGTGGCTTTCCCGTTGCAACGCTCGGCCTCTGGAGGCCCCCTGAGGGCGACATCCGGGCATCCCTGGAAGACCCTCGGCGAGGCGCAGCTGCTGGAGCGCACCCCCGAGGCTGAAAAACGCCCAGGGAGAAGGATGAGAAGGATAAGCAGGAGGAGGGGCACGAGCAGGAGGAGGAGAAGGAGGAGGAGGAGGAGGGGCACGAGCAGGAGGAGGAGGAGGAGGAGGAGGAGGAGAACGAAGAGGAGGAGGAGGAGGAGGACCGACGAGAACGTGCGGAAGCCTCGAAACACAAACTTCGTCACGTTCCCCCCATGGGCCCATCCGCCCCCAGGACGCTGACCCTGGTCCCTCTCCTCTTCGGACGCCGGGCATGGGTACGGAAAACACGCAACAGCGGCCGCTGTTGGGCGGGCGGCCTTCTGTCTCGAAGGTACAGCGCCCGCGGCGGCACTGACAGCGAGCCCTGTTCAAAATGGGCAGGGACTGCTGTCAGTCTTGGAGGTCGCTAGGGTGGGCGGGAAGGTCACATCCCAGTACGCTCGGCCAGCGCGTTTGATACGGCAACCGCAGTCCTTACGACCCCCATTCGGGAGAACGGTTTGCTCTTATCGACGATTGGGCTGCTTAGGCTTGCTCTTACCCTACGAACATTGCCCCTCTTCCGTCGCCGCCAAACAAAAGGTTGCGCTCGCTTCCTCTCAGCGAGCTTCATTGTCAATCTTCGTCGCCATTTCAATCGTGCCGATTCTCGTCCCTCCCGCCCCTGAACCTTCCCATTCCCTATCACTTAGAGGCCTCCAAGACGGGGTCTGAGTAGACGGGGTCGGAGGATCGCGCCGCATCGGCGATGCACCGGCGATATATCGTCGATGCATCGGGGATGCATCGGCGACGTCGGCGATGCATCGGCGCCGTCGGCGTGGAGAACATCAGGCTCCACATCGAGCCGCATCGGCGATGCATCGGCGATGCGGCGCGATCCTCCGACCCCATCTACTCGGACCCCATCTGGGGGGCCTAGACTACTACTCCCCTCCTCCTCCTCCTCCTCCTCCTCTCCTCCTCCTCCTCCTCCTCCTCCTCCTCCTCCTCCTCCTCCCCCTCCTCCTTCTCCTCCTCCTCCTCCTCATCATCATCATCATCTTCCTCCTCCTGCTCCTCTCCCCTCCTCCCTCCTCTGCGGAAACCATCAGATACTGATACCGCTACTCCCCGGACCTCTCCCGGGGCGCGTTCTGACCACGATTTCGACACGAATCCAGCGGTGGCGACGAGGGCCTCCCAGGAGGCCCCAAAGAGGGGAAAACGAGGCAAGAGTAGTGGTACCTGCAACTTTGTTTTTCTCCGACATTCCACGCGCTTCAGTCGCCCTGGACCTTCCCGGTCAGCATCAGTACCAGCGACAGCCTTCGGTGGCAACTCATGGGAGCCTCCCATACCATCTTGTCGGCTCTGGCGAATCGACGCTCAATCGACGCTAATCGACGCTAAGTCGACGCTGAACGACAAAAAATCGCCGCTACTTTATCGACTCCCGTATGCTAATCGACGCCAGGCGCCATAATTAAAAGGGTATACCAGGCTCTCATGATTCTGGGGGTAGAAGAAGGGGTGGTGTAGAGGGGTGTGGTGCCAAGGCTGGATCTGGTGGGGTGATCGATCGCAGATAGCATCGCCATTCCCACGATTGGCACCGCACCCCTTGATGCCACACACCTTTCCGACCTCCAGAATCATTTCGGCGGCGAGCGAAGGGGAGAAGTGAGAGGACGTCACCCGACGACAGAACAAACTTCTCAAAAGGCCCGAGGGCTTCTGAGAACTCCCGCCGCCGTCTGGGAAGGCCATCTCCTTCTCGTTTCCCCCCCTCCCTCGCCGCCGATGATTTGCTGCCGTGACAGCCCCGTGCCCCCCCCCGCGGAGTCGCCCCCCACGAAGAGCGGCGGCGTCCCCGCGCCGCCGCAGTCGCGGCCGCCGGGCCCGTGCGACGAGAGCCAGCGCCACGCCTCCAGCAACCCCCGGAGCGCGTCGGAGGCGTTCCCGACAGGGACCTCACGAGCGCCAGACCCCCATCGAGCAATGACAAAATCACGACGGAAGGCTTTTCCCCATTTTCGGCCTCTGGGGGCCCTTACCGGGCTGCGTACGCAGGACGGAAAACCGGTCCCGGGGAACATAGTCGAAACCTCTGGGGGTCGACGTCATGAACAAAATCGTGGCGTCGGGGTTCTGGGCAGGGGGTTGGAGGTTTGAGATTTTTGGGCGTATTCGCTGCTTCTCGGCGGCTTTCCAGTCTCTGGGTGCCTTCCAGCGGCTGCGCCTCGCCGCGGGCGTGCCCGCGGCGCCTGGATCGTCCCGAGCGGCCGCCAGAGAGCCGAGACCTAGCCCGGAAACCGAGGAAACGACAGACGAAACCCAAGCCGAGGAGACCCGGCTAAAACGACGCGAAGATCGGGACAAAATCGGATCGGGATAACTCGAAATCTCTGAGAATCGGCGGGTTGGGAGGATGTATTGGGCGCCGCGGCCGCTCCAGAGCGTTCCGGAACGCTCTGAGAGCGCTCCGGAACGCTCTGGTGCGATTTATCCCGATCCTAGCCCTGTTTTACCGGCGGCTCCGGAGGATGTCTCGGGCGCCGCAGCCTTCTCAGAGCGTGCTGGAACGCTCTGAGAGCGCTGCGGCAGGAAGTGTCTCCGGCACGGAGGGGAGTGCCCCAAGGCACAGGCAGCACTGAGAGGTGGATGCGGTGCCGATGCTGCAGCGAGAACTTTCGGGGATGGACAGGCCCCCCTTTAGTAAAACGTGGTTTAGTGAAAACGACCTGAGGCCCAAACCTGGCGGGCGCAAGCCTGGAAAATGACGGCCACGGCGCCCTCTCGAGAACCGAAAACGGACAATTCACTAATCGACGTGTCACTGTTGGGGGTTCTGTCCACCCCCGATTCACATGCCCGGACCAGCCACTTCCCAGGCATTGCCTGGCTTCTCCCCGTGAGTTCTGGGGTGCTTCCTGCGCCTCCTGTGGACGCCCCGCCCCCCAGAGCGACCTCCCGAACCCTCCCACGAGTCCAAGAAGGTCCCCGAGTCGCCGAACGACCAAGAACTACAAGACGCCCAAGATGGCCTCACGATGGCTCAAGAGGCCTCCAAGACGCCACAAGGGGCATCCAAGAGGTATCCCAAGAGGGCCCGAACAGGCACGTATCATTGATTCGCTTAGGTTGTTGAAGGATTTCGGTGTTCTCGCCTTCTCAGCTGTCCGACGCTCCTAGACGGCCCAAGATGCCCCAAAGACCACCCCACGACAGCCCAAGAGGCCTCCAAGAGGGCATCAAACGGCCCAAAAGCGCCCAAGACGGCCCAAGAGGGCCCCACGACGGCCCCCAAAAGGGATCAAGAGGAGCACGAACCGAAAATCCGAGGCGTCCGCCCCAACAAGCCCCCAGGAGGCCCCAAGATGCGCCCAAGAGTCCCCCAAAAGGCCCCCAAGAGGCCCTCAACAGGCCCGAAGAGGGCCCCAAGCTGGCCTAAAAGAGGCCCTAAAGGAGCCCCCAAGAGACCTCAGAACTATCTGCAAGATGCCCCGAGAGGCCCCCGACGAGATCCCAACGAACATCCAACAGGCTTTATATCCACAACCCGGGCACGGTGGCGGCATGGGCCGAAAACCATTCGATCCGTACCCGCGCCCTCGCGGTCTGGATTCCGGGGCGCGATCCCGCGGATACGCGGTCGCACAGATAAGTTCCGCGCGGGGCATCCGCGAAAGAATGCCCCGAATCCGCGGGTCGGATTTACTGACCCGTGTCAACCCAAGCCCGGGCCAGTCAGGCTCTGCAGGATGCTGCAAGCTTCAGGTCCGACATGTCCCCCTACACGCAGAGCCTCGAGGGGAAATGCAAACTAATAAAAACAATGCAAACTGAGCACGAAGATATAACAATGCAAACTAAAAAACAATCGGCCCCCGACTATTTTGTTGACTACTTTTGAACCTTCCTCCTGTAGAGGGACCTGCCCGACTTACTGCAAGCTCCTGCAGAATCTCCTGGCAGCTCTGGCGCTCTGGCGGAACCCCGCTTGCATGGACCCCCCCGCCTGTCGAACACCCCGTCTCTGCGGGGGCCGCGGCTCGGGGGCCTGGCCCCCCGCGAGGCTGCGGCTACGGTATGGCGTGTGCTTCGCCCATCCCTCCTCCTCCTCTTCCACCTCCTTCTCCTCCTCGTCCTCCTGCTCCGCCTCCTCCTCCTTGTCCTCCTCCTCCTCCTCCTACTCCTCCTCCTCCTCCTCCTCTCCTCCTTGTCCTCCTCCTCCTTGTCCTCCTCCTTGTCCTCCGCCTCCTCCTCCGCCTCCTCCTCCTCCGCCTCCTCCTCCTCCTTATCCTCCTCCTTACCCTCCTCCTTGTCCTGCTTCGCCCACTTTTATGATCCTGGCGTTGCAGTTCTTTCACAACCAGCGTTCTCGCTCCATCTCGTGCCCCGGGAGACTCACAGATCGATCCGGCTCGATTCGTGGCGCGCACAGATGGGGTCTGGGGCTCAGGCCGTGATTTCCCGCGATGCTGCATCTATCTCAGGGACGAACTCCCGACGGGGACCAGGCGGTAGTCGGGCACGAAGACCAGGGCCCCGGAGGCGTCCGCGAGCTTCGAGGCCAGGACGTCGTAGGAGCCCTGCGAGGGTCCGTGGGACCGCCACTCCCCGCCGTGCACGTAGAGCACCCTGGGGGTGCTGCAGTCCGACTCTCTGGGCCACCAGAGCCGGTCCTCGGGGAACCAAGCAATATAGTACAGTCGGACGTCGTTGGACAGGGCACGCGAGAGGACAAAAGACCCTTCCGAGGGCCGCATTGCCATCGGAATGCAGGAGGCATGGGTCGCGAGACACAGGACACAAAGGTACCCTTGCTTTGGCAGGGTCGACCTACTAATCCGGGCCGACTGTACTAGAGGCCTCCTAGATGGGGTCGGAGTAGATGGGGTCCGAGGATCGCGCCGCATCGATACATCGGCGATGCATCGGCGATGCATCGGCGGCATCGGCGATGCATCGGCGACGCCAGCGTGGAGAATATCGGGCTCCACCTCGAGCCGCATCGCCGATGCATCGATGATACGGCGCGATCCTCCGAATCCATCTACTCCGACCCCATCTCGGAGGCCTAGGTATACAGTCAACCCGTATCAGAAGGACGCGCGGTAAGGATACAACGGCCTTGGAGGCCCATGTTGACGTTTTTCGAACGAAGCTGGCCAGCGAAAATCGCTAAGGATGAGCCGAAGGGGCAAGGATGCAAGGGTACCCGTAGGAAAATTGCCCATCCTAACCATGCGGGTTGACTGTACTCGGCAACACGCAAAACATGATCCTAGGCAGGAGTAACCTCTGGTGCGCGGACGAAGGGGGCGCAAGGTGACCAAATCCAAGCGCGCAAGCAGCCGCTAACGCATCGCGCTCAGCGATCGTGGGGACCCCGATGAGCCCGCACCAAAAGACACTCCGGCGAAAAGTCACTCTTAAGCACAGTCGGTATACCGATACCGCGACTCCCCAGACCTCTCCCGGGGAGCGTCCCGACGAGGACTTCGAGACGAACGTGGCCATGGCGACGAAGGCTTCCCTGGCGAACGCGAGGCAATGGCAAGGGTTATGGTGTTTTCCCGGCGGACGGCAATGGGGGGTGACCACAAATGGGGGGTGAAGAAAAGGGCCCTACAGGGGCCCTTTAGGGGCCCCTCTTGGAGCCAGCTGGTGCCCAAAAGGGGCCGTCAAGGGCCCCATCATGGCTTCTCCGTCAGCGACCCATGGATTTGGCGCGCGGTCGCCAAGTCCATGGATCGGGGGAGGTGCTCTCCCCAGAATGCGGCCGGTGCCGCCTCTCGGCAGCGGAAATCCGCAATCTCCCATGGAAGTGGGGCCCGTCGTTAATCCACGCCCCCTTGATCCATGTTTGCGATCGCCTGGCACATGGGGGATGATGGAAATAGCCCTCAAGGGGCCCTTTAAAGCCCATTTTGGGCACCTTGTGGGGAAACCAAGAGCTACCGATACCGCTACCCCCCGGACTTCTCCCGGGGTGCGTTCTGACTAGACTTTCGAGGCGAATCCAGCGGTGGCGACGAGGGTCCCAGAAAGGGGAAAACTGCCGAGGGGTAGAGGTATGAGCACCTTTTCCTCCTTTGAATTTGGGTCACCCGCCCGAACTTTCGCCCTAGGTCCTCCCCCCTGGGGCCCGGCCTGCTGTCCAGGCAGTCCCCCCCCTCGGCGGGCGCTACACACCGCCACGCGGCGCCCGCGCGGCTGATGCTCGAGCAGGGGATCCACTACAGAAGTGATTTACCCCAGAGCTGTTTTTTCCTGTTAGGTTGCTCCCGTCGTACTTGAGGCCAGAAATCATCTCAAGGACCCAGGAAAGAATCGAAACGGTGTCGAACGAGTAATTATCGCCGCCCAGGGCCCGACGCGTGACAACCCTTCAGTTTCGGTCCTTCCCTGGTGCTCGAAACTCTTTCTTGTGATCAAGGCTAAAGCAGGATGGGACATCATACTTGTCCTGCCGAATCCACGATTTCCTCATGGATCCGAAAAGACAAATTAATTTCGGGGTGAATTAATTCTGTAATCGATGCCCTGCTCGAGATGTCCATGCTCTCGACGCCGAAGCTCTGCTGCCTGTCCCGGCAGCACCCCGGATCCGCCACCAGGGCCTCGTAGCAGTACCTTGCCCGGGAGGCATCTATACACCACCACTGTGCCTGGTCAGTGCCTTCTTGGGCCCAAGCATGTTCGGGAGCAGCTCATGGGAACCATGAGTGCCTTCGAAACTCAAAATCCTGCGCTAGCGTTTGGTAATCTACTTATGAGAGCGCGCCGATGCAACGTCGACTAGTGGCGATTTAGCGTCGACTAGAGTCGATCCACGTCGATCCACGAATGCCAGTCTGAAGGCATGGTTTATATTGCTCCCATCGTACTTAAGGATCGCATGCAAAACATACTTTCGAGCACCCCGAACAATGTCAAAACAATGCCTACCCGACACGCTGGCAACGTGCCCAACGAATATCGCCACCCAAGGTCCGACACGTGAAAACCGTCCAATTACGATACTTGCCTGGTGCTCGGAATTCTTCCTGGCAGTCAAGGCCAAAGTGGGTTGGAACATCACAAGGCATGATGTGTACACGCCCTGCCTCCCAGCCGAGGCCAGGAACATCCGCGTGCACTGTCCCCAGGCAGAGATGGCCCCAGCCAGGCGCGGTGGTGTGTTGCGCAGGTGCCTTCGGTGGGTGGGGCCACGCCACGGGGGGGTCCCCACGGGGGGGGGGCGCCACTGGAGGCCTCCACCCCCATGAGGTCGGGGCAGATGGGGTCCGAGGATCGCGCCGTATCGCCGATGCATCGCCGATGCATCGGCAATGCATTAGCAACGCCGGCCATGCATCCCGCCCCTGAACCTTCACAGTCCCTACTACTTAGAGGCCTCCCGACGATGTATCTGTGCTGTCGGCGTGGAGAAAATAGGGCTCCACATCGAGCCGCATCGGCGATGCATAGGCGATGCGGCGCGACCCTCCGAACCCATCTGCTCGGACCCCAGTTGGGGAGGCCCGGAGCCACCTCCTCGAGGAAGCGCCATTGGGGCCTCGAGGATGTCGGTCCCGTCAGGTGAACGTTTTCTGATTCGGACGTTCGACATTGGGGGGACGGGGTAGAGAGGGGAGGGGTGGAGGCCTGCCTCCTGGATGGGGTCGGAGTAGATGGGGTCGGAGGATCGTGCCGCATCGCCGATACATCAGCGATGCCTCGTCGACGCGGGCGATGCATCGGCGACGTCGACTGCATCGGCGACGTCGACGTGAAGCAAATCGGACTCCACATCGAGCCGCATCGGCGATGCAGAGCGATCCTCCGACCCCATCTACTCCGACCCCATCCAGGAGGCCTAGAGTCTGTAGAGTCTGGCTCTGGACCTCGATTTTTTTTCTTTTTGTTTCTTCGCGGCTTCTTATTTGAATTTTGAGTCTGCCGCCGCACAGTGATCATTATGCAGACCATCGATTGGAGGACGCTGCATTTGCACGGCGTTTGAGATTTCTCACTGGTTGCTTGCGCTGCCGAGTGTGTCATCGTGCTCTGGACCTCGACTTTACACGACTGCTTGCAGCAGTGCGCCCTGTGGGGGAGACTCCACCTGCTTGAGACAGGCGCCACAAAGAGCCAAGATCTACTCCATGGGGGGTGGGGATGGGCTGCGAGGGCCCCCGCCGATCGGCGGACGAAGAGGAGATGAGGAGGAGGAGGAGGAGGAGGAGAAGGAGGAGGAGGAGGAGGACTAGGAGAAGGAGGAGGACGAGGAAGAGAAAACCAGGAAGAAGAGGACGATCCCCAGGTCACCCCAGAGGAGTCAGAGGAGCCTTCCGGAAACGACCCCAAGCGTCCGACACAGCCTCGAACTTCCTCCCCGGAACCTAGAATTTTCAGGGGAGGAGCTAGTGACCCCCTTGGGTTGGGGACGCCATGACAATGGACACCCTAAGAATCCTTTTCACTTGATAAAACATGTGTTTAACATGTGTGCAAACATGTTCTAAAAATACTGAACACATTTTTGGACATCTGGGACTTATTTGACAACATGTCCACAACCCGTGGGGGTGACCGCCTTGCCGTGGATCCGCTCGATTGGTTTGAAACCCTGGGAGGCCACATTAGGCGTGCGTGCGTAATTATGGCGGGCATGTGGGGCCACTGGGAGTGCGTAAAGAGTGTACGCTGGAGCCTCATAATTATACTAATTCGTTTGAGCACGCCTGCGCGAGTCTGGAGTGGCCGTTGTTGGTGCAGTCGTCTTGGACATGCCAACACATGTCTCTAAAGCGGCTCGAATTGGGAAGACTCGGGTTGGAATGACGAGACCCGGTCTCAGATTTGACGAGACATCCCGCAGAAGACATCCCGCAACAACTGGACCGTCCGAACCCAGGACGGGTCCGTCCAACGGCGCCGGCGGAACCGAACTCTGTCGTACTTGATCTTTGAAATGAGCAAACATGATCGTTGAGGCCATCACACTGTACACTGTAACAGTCCTACCATATGATTAAGCATGCGTCTTGTATGTTTGAACAAAAACGTTTTAAACATGATTGCATGGTTTTGATCATCACACTGTTTCGTGCATGTTCCACACATTGTCTAAGCATGTCTTACACTCTGGAAAGTTATTGGCAGCATGCCTCTTCTCCATCGATCGTCTTCCTCAAGAATGACTGCCTACCAAGCCACCCCAACCTAACCCGAAGACCCGAATTTCGGGCTGGGGGGGGCACGGGTTCCACACGTGTCTTTCCAATGTGCACCGACCCCCGCCCCACTGGAAACGGACGGCAAATCGGCGCCTTCGGGTTGGGTTGGGGTGGTTTGATGGGCGGTGAAACGCAAAAGGTAACCGAGCCCCTTTGCTCTCCCCAGGGTGGGCACCGCGTCGCGCCGTCCAGGAAGGGCACCCTCGAGACCGGGGGGCCCTCTGCCCACGCGCCTGGGGGAGGCGCCAGCCACAAGAGCCCAGCGGCGACCAGCGCCCCGCGCCGTGCGCCTCGGCGCGGAACTGCCATCCCACCTGAGCGACGACGAGAAGGGGTCTTCTGCAGTCAAAATGTACCAGAAGGATGCGCGGTGAGGATGCAAGGGCCTTGTAAAGCCATGTTGACGTTTTTCGAATGGGGCTGGCCGGCGAAAGTTGCTAAGGATGGGCCTCAGGGGCAAGGATGCAAGGTAACCTTCGAAACCTCGCTCATCCTTACTGTGCGGGTTGACTGTAATGTGGACGCGGCCACAAGAGAGACCCCACAAGAGACCCCCGCAATAGAGAGACCCCCACCGGAGCGATGAACGAAAAAGGGGCGAATAGAGAGACCCCCCCAAGAGAGACCCCCACTGGAGCGACGAACGAAAAAAGGGCGACCACGGCACCATGACGAAAACCATACGGTTTCCCTTGGTGCGCGTCCCCACTGCATGGGACGCTGAAGGGCATATTACTAATATGTGCGGATTTCGGAGGTGCACGTCCTACACGAGCATGTTGTGCAAGCGCTTGATAGTATACCGTTTTCCGAGCGGTATGGCCAGAAAACGCCCGCCACGAAACTTACCGTTGCGGGGCACACGCACACATGTAGAAGTCCTACCAGCCCTCTGGGCGCAGGTGGTCTAACGAAATTCCTCTTCCCTCTTCCAAAAAAACCGCTCTTCCCCTAGAGGGAGGGGTTGACCCCTCCCCTGGACGTTTTTTGGAAGGTTTCGCGAGGTGTCAGGGCGCCTAAAACGGCCTCGGCGAGGAAGCCCAAATCATTGTTTTTACTAAAAGGTTTTGGCCCCATGTTGGCCTCTTTGGGGGGGGGGGTGAACGTTATACCGTCTCCTCCTTTGATCGATGGCCTTCAAGATGGCCCCAAGAGGCCTTCCAGGGCTCCCGAGAGGGCCCCAAGAGAGCCCCAAGACGGCCCAAAGACCCTTAGAAGAGCCCCGAGAGAGCTCCAATACCCTCCCAAAGAGCTCCGGGAGAGCTCCAAGAGGCGATTTTGAGGACTCCTGGGAAAGGGCCATCCTTGGATCGATGCTCTCCTAGATGGCCCCAGCAGGCCTTCCAGGGCACCAGTCGCAGCACCAGCAGAGGGCGGCCCCCAGGGATGGCCCGAAGAGGCCTTCCAAGGCCACCCTCTTGCTCCCAGAGATCTCCCGGTTCATCCTGGTTGTTCGCTTTGTTTCCCTAGATGTGTCCCTTCGCCCCTTTTCCCGCCAGCTCTCGTGGGCATGGCTTCTGAATGGGCTGGTGGGGATACTTTTTGTTCGCGAGCGCAAGCGGGCGAGCCGCGCGTCGTCACAAGGCTGGCGGGGATACCTTTTTTTTAATCTGCGGTTCCAAGGGCGATTCCAGAGAGCAAATCGTATCGAACATGGGGCAGCGCGCGAAGTAAGTGACAGCGGGCCGAAGCCAACGCCGGAGTGCACCAGTGCCAGAGAAGGCATAGCAAACTTGGGGGGCCAATCGACATGATTGCCAGCGGGAACACCAACGCTGGGATGCACGCGCGAGGGGAAAGCCCCAAAGCGCCAAGGGGGCAAGCGAGAGGCCAAGCGAGATGGTTACCAGCGGGCCAAAATCCAACGCCGGTATGCACATGCACGGGGAGGAAACCTGAGAGGCCCGGCAAAGCCAGACGACGAGCAGGTAGAACCAGCGGGCCAAAAGCCGACGCCGGAGGGAACCTGCGGTAGGAAGAGAACCGCAAGCCGACGACCCGGCACACGGTGAAAGCGATGCTTGAACCAGGAACCCTCACTCACGGAGCAACTAAGGCTCATGGACAGCTGCACGCAACCAGTAGGTTGAAGCACCGCTGAACACGGTCGTCAGACGACGTGCGACGAGGGGGGCGTGGTCCTTCCCGCCGACAGCACCACGTTGAGGTGAGCCCAGGCGGGCAAAGACCATCTCCGAGAACGATGCACGCGATGAAACCGTCGTAGGCGCCTGCCAATGGAGGGTGCCACAGAGCAGTGTCGAACTGGTGGGGATACGCGACGCGTGAAGAATAGATTTGTGTGGTGCCGCTCTTACGCGCGAAGAAACAGCGAGCTCACGCCACGGCGTACTGAACATCGTTTCACCGATCTCCATCCCTACAAGCGGCGCCTGGGCCCCACTCGCCGATTGACCCCCTCTGATGGGGGGTACAGGCTGTTCCCTTCCGGTTTCGAGGAACCTGTCGACAAATGGGGAGGTGCAGTGGTGGGGCTGAGATACCATGTCCCGCTGGGGACGGGGATGGGTGGAGCGCTGGTGACTTACGCGGGCCGCCAGCGTGGCACTCGGCGTGGTGAAGCGGGCGCTTACGTGCGAGCTTGCGCGGGAAGCTTACACGAGAATCACCTGACGCCGAGGCCCACGGGGAGGCGCTGGCCGGCTTGCTGGAGGTGTCAGTGTCCGGACCCGCCGCTTGCAGCTGTTGTCAGAGCGGGCGTTTCCGCCAGGCTTTGGGCCCGGGGGCCAGCACAGGCCGATGCGGCTCGAAAGATACATCAGAAAGATGAGTCCTGGAACAAAAAACTAAAAGTAGCCAATCAATGCTAAAACATGGTTAAACATAGTCGAAAAATCATGCCCAGAGCATTCTCGAACTATTTTTGAATACTCCTCCTGTAGAGGGACATGCCCAACTCAAGTCTGGGGCTCTGGCCCTGATTTAACGCGGTGTCGGAACTGTTTCGCAACGTCGGACATCAGGAAAGGTGCCCCCCAGGCCTTCGCCCCATCTCTTGGAGCCCCCCCTCTGGGCCTCGTGATGGGGTGCTCTGGAGGCCGCCCACAGCAAACACATCTACAATACCGAACTCTATACACCGACTCTTTTTCCGGCACTGCACTGAAACTCGCACAGGAAAGCGGACCCTGGTGTATACGGGATGCTAGTGAATACATGTTCGTCATTTCCCCAAGCAAACAGGGAAACAACTATACACCACACCACCCCGACGTCGTTCCTGACCCTCAAAAAGTCAATGGATTGAAAAACAGCGCGCCACTGGTAATGTATATGTTCCAGTTTCCGAACACCCGCATGAATCTGTCACGACGCGAAGGAAGTCCAGGGCTCCCTCCTCCCCCCCCCGAGGCTGCGGCAACCCCCGCCTCGCAGATGGAAGGCTCGCAGCCACGGCGCGAACGCACCTGGCGAACCGCACGCCGCCTCGCGAAAAAAACAACCTTTTGGGGCTGCACCGGCACATCTCGCATGCCAGTGTCCAACGAACCCGTGCAGATCTCCTCGGGCGACCAGCCACGTACGAGCACCATACGCTTTTTCCCGTCGCGGCGCAGGCTGCGGCGTTGCGATTTGTCTCGCATGCAAAGATGAGAGGGGGAAAGAGGAAGAGCAGCACACACCCATACCCACTGGAGGGACGGAGGGGGCAATGGGTGCGTGTTGTCTGATGGGGCTCCCAAATCGAATGGGAGCCTCCCCTGGGGTCGGACAACCCGCACTCATACCCATAGCCGGTCCTCCCCCCGCCGACCCCCGTGTGGGTAAGTATCGTTGTGTCTGTGTGTTGTTCGTTCGCCATTGTCTGGGAGGCCATTCTGTCACCGCCGAGCCCGAGCCCGGGCCCAGAGACCGAGGAACCTAGAGGAAGAAACACCGCCGTGAAAATAAACTTTTGAAGGTCCGCACAGATTTCTTGGGTCTGTGCTGGGCCCCCCTCCCTGGAGCGCGGAGCGCGCCCGTGGCGGCGCCGGAGGCGCCGCCAGGATGGCTCCAGCGCGGATCCACGAAATCCGCATGGAGCGCCAAAAGTTTATGTTTATTGCGCCTTCGATCACATCGGTCGCGACCGATTTAACAAAAAAAACGCATCGGTCGCGACCGATACCGAAACTTGAAGCACAATCGGGTTAGCGAACGCTCTCGTCGGTCGCGACTGGAAAATTCCAGTATCCAATGATCAGGGCCCAAGGAAACCGAGCCAGAGTTAGGTCGGTCATGTCCTCCTACAGGCGGCTTTTGAACGAAAGCTTGGAATTTGTCAAAAATATGCAGACAGTGGCCAAGAATAGTCGAAGAATCGTCCCAGAACTGCTTTTGGATTACTTTTTAAATCTCCCTCCTGTAGAGGGACATGCCCGACCGACCCGGAGGCTTTTCGGAAGAGGCCCCAGGGCGCTCCCGAGAGGCCCTGGGGCGCCCCGAGCTGTCCAGGACGGCCCCTTCTTCGTCCCCCCTCTTTCCCGGCGGGCAGAGGAGCAGGAGGAGGAGGAAGACGCCGAGGAGGAGGAGCAGGAGCAGGAGCAGGAGCAGGAGACGGAAAGCCCGACCCCCGCCTCGGAGGCACGGCGGCGCGCCGCCTGCGGCGGCCTCGGCGAGCGCGCGCCCCCGCGGGCCGCCTCCGGGGGGGCCGCCGCCTGCGGCGGGCGGCCCGCGGGCGCCGCCCAGCCGGCGGGGCGCCCTGCGCCTCGTCCGCGGCGAGGGGCGGCCACCGCCGCGCGGGCGCCGCCCGCGCGCGCGCGAGGGCGGGCGCCGCGCCGGGGCCTCGGCGCCGCGGGGGCGGCCCGCGCGGCGGGCGCGCCGCCCCCCCGCGGGGCGCCGCGCCGTGGCGGACCCCCGAGCGTGCCGTGGAGGGGTCGCGGCGGGCACGCCTCCCTGGCAACGGAGTTTCGCCGGAGGGTTCGTCGTCGTCGTCGCCGCCTCTGTCGTCGTCGGCGTCGTCTTCGGCGTCGTCGTCGCCGTCGTCTCGCACGATAAGCGACAGAAGGACCCCTAAGGAAAGGGGGCCTGAGTTAGGAGGGCCAAGCACATTACACATTAGGGATAGGGGGCCTGTTCTCCAGATGTACCGAACCAGACCGCCCAGATGTATGATCCTAGATGCGAGGACCAGGACCTGCATGAGGCCTCATCTTCATCGACTTATTCGGGTTAGGGCTTCTTATGTGATCGATGATTCTTCCCTACCAATAGCGTTTCGCTAGAAGGTTCTAGTGTGGTGGGAGCCCACCAGGGGGGACGGGCCAGCACGCCACGATAACCTATACATACGGAAGCCCGCTGACGAA